CTTACATCTTCAGGGTGAAAATTACACACTGTTAAAAAGTTTTCTGCGCATGAAATACAAGTTGAAAAGCAGACTCTCTTTTTATAAGCTTCTAAGTCCTGACAGACCACTGTACACTGCAACCACTGAAGTGGTGCATCTCATGTTCTGCTCTAGGTCTGAGCGAGGTTGGTGACCATTGCAAGAGCAAACCTGGATCCTTACAGACAGATTTTTACAACAGTTCATCCTTACAGGGAAGAAAAAGCATTATAGTATAGACAACAGCTCTAGTAGGGAGGGACACTGGTTTTCTAGTTGCTGTCAGGGGCCTCTAGTAATTTTAAAATATTTATTGTAAATTGTTCTCAGAGGAACATATAAATATTTCCCTCTTCTGTTTTAACATCAAAGACATATCTACAAACAAACCCTACACACCTCAGACTTTTCCAAATACCTGTTCAGAAAGATGGCTATTATAATGCGCTCTGAAAATCAATATATTTGGGCTTCTTAGACCACAGTGAATAAATTCTAAAGCAGTGAGTTCTTCATAGCTGCTCCAGGTAAAATCTTCCTCAGTTATTAATCATGAAACTGGGCCTGAGCACCTCTGCTGATCGAGACAGTAGCTGCATGACAGACGGAGAATTGAGAGCTCAGAACAGGTCCCAGACCACTGAAAGCTTTTTACGTTAGAAGCAGCAAAGGACAAACCCCAGAGGACTAGTCTTATTTTAATTGTGAACTGTTCTGCTCAAAAACACAGCACCTGCATTTTCTATATCAGCTCCAGTTTCCAAACAGAATTAAGGCCATGTGAGATGGATCCTGCAAGGTGCTAAACACTCTAGCACCAATCCTGCAAAACTCATAAGCGTGAGTAGTCCTACTGATGACAACAGGACTACTTTAGCTAAGCATGCGTTCAAGTGCTTTGCAAGATTGGAACCGGAGCGTTCAGGATCTGACAGGTTCAAGTACCTAGAGAGTACTACAGCTGTTTTAAAGTTGAGGGGACAAGGCATGCAACACAGTGGCAAGGTCTACATCCAAAAGATGTGACCTCCAATCAATATGAAAAATGTGGCTAGGAACAGCCAAAAAAAATGTGGCTCCCATCAATATGAAAAATGTGGCTAGGTTTGACTCCTCCAACACAACGGGGGAGGAGAGTAAGGGTTATAGCTGGGCCATGCATCAAGCAATATATTCCATTTTCAAGTGTGAGGGAGACTTGGAGGGACATGCATGGGGATGCTATTGGGTCAGTGAAATAACATGTTGCCCTTTACAGAGAGCAGACTGCTCACGTGATCTGGTCCTATGAGAACAAGTATAAACACAGCAAACCTGAACTCATTTCAGCATGCCAAAGTGTTCCCCTAGCATGCTATAGAAGAATTTTACAATCCTTTTATGTTTTTAATGCAACATTTGCCCATACCCACATAAATCAGGCATCAAACTATTGAACTTGGATCAAATCTGCCTAAAACCATTTGCTTGCTTCCCTCTAACGTTGTATTTTTCCAGAGGGCTATGACGGAGAGAAATTACAAGCAAATGCCAGATTCACCTCTACATCCTAGCCACTACTGACATTGTACTGTTTTCCTACAATTAGTTTTGGGTTTTTTTTACGGATAATTATGAAGAGATTCAATCAAATCACGTTTTCAACTACTAAAAGACTTCTTGGATTACTTCACAAAGCCTTTTTCTCACAGAGATTACCTTGCAGTAAATTTTATTCATCAGGAAGGCAGCAATCTACATGTACATATTAGTTTTAAAACAAACAGAACTTCAAATAATTATCTCTGCTGAAGATAGGAATTGCACTTAGTCAATACGTGGCTTAAATTACGGTATAAGCCATAACAATACATTAGATCAGATCCTCTGGGTGCAGTGCAGCTGCTTTGTGTAATACCATCAGTAAAACCTGATTCTAAGGATAGCTTAGCCAGAATTCCTCTGGTGGAATAAAGTCAACAATTGTGGGCTCCTACATCACCCCTCCCTTCCATCTCCACATATGCTAGCATAGCTAGAAAAGGGATGGAGGGCTCCATAGGCCTGTGCTAGGTTGGCCTCCACTACATTTTCAGTTGTGGACACTAAAATTTAATATAAATTAGAGCAAGCTGTAAAAGACTGCTCTGCCATGGTTCAGGGGACAAGCCCGGCAGAGAAGAGAAGTTCAGGTAGGATCAGGGAAGTGAGAAGATGGGAGTTAGCCAGGGGTGTCAAAGATGCAGCCTGTGGAGCCGTATCATCTGCCCTTGGTGCTGCCCAGGGGTCTCAGTGACCCACAGGGAGAATGCAGGGCACACCAGATGGCCCTGTGAGCCACACACAGTGCCTGCTCGAAGGCACATCCCCGAGCAGCAGAATGCAGCCATTGTGTGCAGCATGGTGCATGCCACTCTGGGGCCATGCTGCATGTGGCAGTGGATCTGGCATGGTTCAGTGCAACCATGTGGCAGTGGTGGCAGCAGCTCTGAGGCCATGCAGTGCAGCCATGAAATAACCAAAGCAAGACCGGGCCACACATGGCACTCATTCTGACTACTCCAGGACATGAGGTGGAATGTAGGACCAATGTGTGGGTCCAGCCTGGCTGGCAAACCAGTCCCGTGCCACTCATCTGGTCTACTGGGCTGGATGAGTCTGACACTCTTGTTTTAAACCATCTTGGCTCCCATACCCTAACTTCCATTTGCAGCAGTTTACTTGTACAACAAGATCAGCTCAGTCTTTTTATTCAGCTTTCTGTTACTTGAAGTGAGAGTAATTTATTTAGCCCAGTAATCCACTACATGCTGCTTTGTCAGATACCTGTACAGCAATCTGCATACTTTCATTATTCCCTTGTCTACCATGCAATGTATACACTATATTTACTTACAGTTGATATTCTCTACTACTTTATTATCTGATGTTAATTATTTGTTACAAGGAAAACAAATGTGGGCAGATATGCTTACTTCTGGGTATAAAAAGGTAAGCAAGAATCAGATAAAGCAGAGGGTTTAGGAGGTTTTACCCCTTAAAAATAGTAGAAGGGTAAGGCCTCGCCCTTTAAAATATTTAAGATGATATTATCAGAAAAGTCACAAATCATATTTTAACATATGGTAAATTTAGGGAACTATCATCAATGATAGAGAGCTTATCAACAGTCCCTTTATAGTAAAATTGTAATACATTTCTTCATAATTTAGTTGTCAACAAAAATATGGTTGATTTTTACATAATTTTCCCTATTTCAACTCTACTGCAAGAAGTGAATATTATCACATTGTCTTCTTCCATTGCTTGCTATTCCGAGTGTCAAAAGGTATTTAGTTTCTTATAATCTGTGAGGTGTTGAAGTTGAAAAAGGATGCAATTGTTAAAGGTATCTTGACATTTATTTGGCTTCTACGAAACAACATTAGTGGAATATCACATCTTCAGTTGAACCAAATGTAAAGAAAATTCAATTTTAAAAAAGTTTGGCAATGCTGAATATTAAAAAGAATAGCCCTCTTTTTGTGTCCTATGGAAATACTGTGAATTTAATAGAATAGCATCTTTTTTTTATCTTTGCCTTTTTCTTAATAATTCTGTAGTCCATAACAGAAAGTTCTCTCTCTCTTCCAGAGTTTACTGACTAAGAATCAGTCCTTTATAACCCCATAAAACTTCTATGGAACAACAGTGATTTCAACCATTTTAAATTGTTTTGCTTAGAAGTTCTCTCTCTCCAAGAGACTGTATTTTTCATAGGCAATATAAGAGGTTATCAAATGAGGTAACAGAGTATAACAGACAAAGGATAAATAGAACAGAGATAGCTAAAATCTGTTTTATCAATTAGCACAATATTTGAGGGAAAACTCTAGCAGCCATCTGCTGTTTTCTTTCATTAACTATTTTTATCAATACAATGCACAAACTAACCGTTAATCAGGGTCAGCATATTATTATGCTCTCCTATTTACTTAAAGGGTAGATGACAAAGCTATATGGTCACAAGTCAAACTACAAAGACACTTAAATCCAATAAATAAGCCCCACCTTTTCTTCCCCTTCATCAAGAATGAAAGCAACACGACAGTCTCACAATGAGTCATTAGAAAGCACAAACACAAGAACCTGTTGTAGGGGCATCGCATCATCTGTCTTTTGAAAGCTGTCAAGAAGTGTTTGTCATTCCAACACTGCTTGCATCTCTCAAACTCCAAGATAAAACTGTAAGATAATGTCCCCCATCAATCTCAGAGTGACTTAAGAGAGCTGAAAAATAAATAGTATTGAGTCACATTTCTAAGCAGGATTCCACATATTATTAATTTCAGCTTAGAAACGAGCAAAGATACCAAATCAGCTATTGCTCCTTTTCAGCTACAAACACTTGCTTAGAAAAAAATACATTTTTAAGGGTGATGCTTTCAAATGCTTTAGAAAAAGTTTAAACAAATATGTAGGTTGGTTTGGGATTGAGCAGTACGAGAGTTTTCACCAAAAGAAGCAGGGCAATATAGGGGTAATTTTTTTATTAACTGTAACAGGGGTTGAACACCACAAATGGGCAGCAGAGCCCATTACACTAGCAAATCTGATGGAATCTGACACTTTGTGCAGTTTTTTTTACTGCCTTTGAATTGGGCATCTCCAAAACCAAAGGAAGAGCACAAAATCTTAATTAGACATAAGGGATATCAGTTTTAAACACAGGGTAATCACTTCGGTCTTTTATCCTACATTCAAGAACTGTTAGCACAGAATTGTTTCTTGCTGGTAACAAGTTGTTAACTGAAATGGTACAAATTTAACACAAATAAGAAATATTTCTACACTGTCAGTGTGCAGGGACTGTAATGAACTAATTTAGCTAATAATTAGTGTTCTGCATTGCTTTGCACTTGGCTTCAATAAGCATATTTAGCAGCGTACATGCACAGGCCTCAATGCTTACAGATGCTAAAAAAAACCCCAAAACAAAACAAAAATCCCCCATGCTTTACCAGAAGCAGCAGTGCATTAGTTTGACCTGGCTCCGCAGCATCTGTAGATTGGGCACTTCTGTGGGGCTTTTTGGTGTTTTTATATAATAGCTGATTAATCAGCTATTAGATAAAAGAGCCAAAAAAGCCCCACTAAGGTGCCTGATCTATACAAGTGTTGGGTGAGCCAAGCCCACTGAATGAGATACTTCTTCTGGGTATCCGCTGGGCTTGGCGCAGAGGCATGCCGAGTTTAAAGAACAGCACCAGTTTGGGGTTTTTTTTTAAACGTCTGTAAACAGCCTCTGAGGCCTGTGCATGTATGCTGCAAATTATTCTTAGTGCTGCAAATTATTCTTAGTGCAGCTGAATGCAAAGTGCTTAGTAATCATTAAAAACTAACCACCACCTTCGTAATGGCAAGTAAATGCTGCTTCTCCCTTTAACATAAGCAAACTGAGGAACACAGAAGTAAAACAACTTGGTCAAAGTCATACAAGTCAGCTAAATAGCTGCTTATAACCAACAAGAGGCACGTGCAGACAAGCATAGCCATGTGGTATGTGGCACTGCAAACATATCTGCAGCACCACACACTGCACACTGAGGTGTTCTCCGCGCTGCAAGGGTGTGCTGCCCATGCGTGCACTGCTCTGTTTTTTTCCCCATGGGTTTTTGACTCCTGGATATCTAGGGGTCACAAAAACCTGCGGGGGAAAAAATGAAGCAGTGGATGCACAGGCAGCACACACTGCTGAAAAGCAGAGTTGGGCCACCCAGAGCCATGCTGTGGCTGCCAGCCAGGCTCTCTGCCTGGCAGGATAGCCGCAGCTACAGCCCCAGGAGGCCCCCAGAACCCCAGGTAAGGCTGCTGGGGCCAGCACAGTGCTGGCGCCAGCCTCTCCTACCACTCCCGGGATAACTCGCTGCATGCCAAAGCACACGTAACACGGGTGTTCCCTGGGGAAAAGCAGCTGCAGCACAAGGTGCACCACTACTACTTGTCCCTGGGGAAGCAAACGTCCGCACTCGTCTGGTTGCGGCCAAGGAGTCTCGGACAGAGATGCAGATTTTTCACTATTCACCAGATGCCTTAGAGCATTTACTAAGAGTTTCAACAAACGCTGGTCTGAAACAATGCGACTAAAAAGAAATACATGGGCAGACCTAGAAATGTATTTATTTTACTTACAAACATTTCTAAGACTTAAAATAGACTAATAGGACTCCCTTCTATTTACTGGCTCTTTTAATTCTTAGTATTATCAAAATCAACATTGCTGGATGCCAATATTGTCAAAAGAGTAAAAGATGTGTAAATTTCAACCATTTAAAAAAAACATTATTCAGATCAGACAGTAAAGATGTACAGCTTTATTGACAGGGCCATCAACTTTTGAAGATTTCTCTGTGGGGGGTGCTGTATGCACCTACTGAATGCTCATTTGGATCTAATCTCAGAGTCACTTTCACTGTCAGCATCATTCTAGATCTGTCGAGAGTTGGGAAACAGCAGGCCTTAACCATGTGAGGGGAATGTGAAACCCCCCACTCAATGCTTACATAAAAAGCACACAAAAATAACTGCATTGAGGAGAGGGCATGTGCACATGGATACATTCAGGAAAGTTTAATGAATTCAGACCTTTAATTAAAATACGTTAGTTAAAGTGTGTTAAACCCCTCTGTGGATATAACTCATCCCAATATAAAGTGGCCTCAGATCACCCTAGAGACACAGACAGGACAGCTCTTAACATTGAAAAGGGATGTACAACAGAAAAAAATCATATAGGAAGCATGAAATAAAACTAGGATAATATATGAAAAAGAAGGTCTATATATGCTACTGAAAAATGTACTATAGCAGAAAACAAAATCTAGCTTTATACTTGAGAGCTTCCACTAAGCTCATCTGTTCATTTAAGATCCCTATTACACACATTTTTACAAGTCACTTACCAGTAAATACTGCACAGACTGGAAAAGTGATTTTCAACAAGACTGTACTATTTAAAATATATATTTTGGGGGAGATACTGAGCATTCTAACCATTTGAACAAATCCGTTACTGAAAGTTTCCTCGCAGAGTTCAGGTAGAAGCAATTATCTATGTTCAAAACTAACAGACAAATATTACAAAACAAATCTGTCTGTACATATCTGCTGAAATGATATAAATGAAAGAAGTGGCTCATACTGTGATTTCAGTCACAAAAAAATGACACAACAACAATCTTTACTTAAGTGAAAAATAGTTAGGCACTTAACTCCCTTAAATTCATTGGGATTTTTTTTGCCTAAAAGCACATTTATAAAAAAATGATGCAAGAGGCAAAGATTTCTTAGGGTGATATGTATTATTGGACAAAACGCATAGCTGAGATAGTTAGACAAGCTTTCAAATGCAAGATATTCTTCATCAGATCAATGCCTCAATACACATTCTGTACAGAAATACTCTCAAAGGAAGAACAGTATAGGGGGTTTCTAGTGTAGCTCAGGGATATTTTATTTACACAAACATACATTTACTACATAAATATTTATGGTTCAGAGGTTTCATCTCCAAATTTGCACTGTTTTTCTACGTTGGGCTTAACTAGTGATATTTCCTTTGAATCTCCACATTTCCAGATGCTCTGCTCATACAGCCTTGATGGAGAACAGTTGTGCTTATTAACAGACAAGCTGTTGACAACTCAGTAAAGCTTCTAAAAGCTGGCAGAGATCTAATCTGGCACCAAGATCTGATAACTTTAGAGGAAAGAGTGCTGGTGGCCTGCAAATACACAAAGTCTGAAGGAAGTCTAGTCAAAATCTTCCCTAGGTGTTCCCCATCTCATTCCAGAGAACTCAAACCAAATACAGAGAGAAACTTGCCTGATTCAATCACTCAGCCCCATTCAGTTACTTAACAGAAGAGATAGATCTCCCTGTAAATGGGAGGTAGAACTCCACTTGCCCCTAAGGATCTAGCAGATCCTAGTTTCTTAAAGATAAGCTGTACAGGATATTTAAAAAAAATATTGTGGTACCTATTTTTGCTCCTTTAAAATATATGGAGGAGTCCTGAAAAATACAGTTTTGGAGGGGTTTTCTCCCCTTCCCAATCTATCTGGTTTTTTCTCTTGGAAATCAGGAATATGAAGTCTGGTCTTTGCACCTTTGCTGGAAGGCTTATTTTTAGGGAGTTGGCGGGGGGAAGGGGGAAGAGGCACAGAATCTCAGATATGTATATTTGTCAGGGGCAGATTCAGGAGCGGTGCACTGGTGCACTTGCACCACACTTGCATTCCTCATCCATCAAAAGTTTAAAGCCAACTGCCTAGCAGTGGCAGAAGGATTTCTAGTGAGGCAGTGCTGAGGGAGCGAATTGACTTAAAAGCTCCTTATAATTTGCTTGATTCCTTCTAAAGTTGTTTCCAACCTTTTTTATACTGTGGACTGGCACAGGAGAGGGACAGGGTGCATGGAGCCAGCTGCCTCCCTCCTGGGGCTTCCCCACCACCCAGCTTTAACCCCACATGACTGCCAGTGGCAGAAGCTGCTTGCCCGCCTGGACAGACAGAGGGGGCCAAGTTGGGGGCTCGTGCCATGACCCAACAGGCAACCCTTCACAGCCCGGTACCAGGTTGCGGGCAGTGGTTGGGAACTTCTGTTCTAAACTCTTCATTTCACAGGTGCTAATGACCCTCTTTCCTTTTAAATGGTCTTTAATGGTTCCACTGCTCCAGGTCTCCTTGCTTCTGCAATGCTACTGTCAGTTGCTCCTAGTAATGTAGCACCCATTTCACAGCCCTGCGGACAGTTTTTTAACTCTAGCTAAAAACAACTCGTGCGGAAATATTAACTCGGGTGAGCATTAGCTTAGGTATGGAAATCACTTTCAATGAATCATTGCAGGCACTGTCCAGATGCTCAAGAAACCTTGATTTTTGTTTTATGAACTGAGAGCTGTACATTTAATTATAATGATTCTAACATATTTTAATTATTTTTGCCTAGTTTGTTGTAGTTATTTTAACATTTTATACACACACACACAAAAAAAATATGATATAGCAAATTAATGTGCATTCCAATACTTTTTGCTTTAATCTTAAATTGAATAATATAGCTCTAGGCCCCTAGCTTATTAGTGAAGCTTCTAGTTTCTTTTTAACTAAAGAAAAACGTGTTTGTGTTAATTGTGATGATGCACCACACCATCTGCACCTCACTTTTCAAAATCCTAGATCTGCCCACGGTATTTCATAGTTTCATAGTTAGTAGGGTTGGAAGGGACCTGAGCAGATCAAGTCCAACCCCCTGCCATGGCAGGAAAGAGTACTGGGGTCAAACAACCCCAGCAAGGTGTTCATC